TCCTCACCCTTCCTTTTAGGATATATTTAGAAAGAACAGTTAATAAAGTTGACCTTTAAGCTAGAAAAGCATAAAATTCACAATCAATATGTAATTTTCACAGGAAATACTTCTTACTCACCCACACAGCACTTTAACAGTTTCAGCTTCTTTTGAAAGAAAATTAATCTTTCGGTATTCCTTGGTTAAAATACCTATTTTAAAAACTGGATGGCAATTGTAGGGATTGAAAGAGGCCCAAATTACAACTCCCAAAATAAATTAGCAAAGGTTTATCTTGTAAAAAGTTAAATTTTAGGTTTATTTTGAGTACTGACCTAATAAAAAATCAACAGAGCTTATTTTATACATTTTTTATTTTAAGGAAATGCTACTTTACCCATTGGCTCTTATTTATTGATCTTGTATAATTTCGTCTATGCTTTGATATTTTGTTAAAAGTAAGTGAGCAATAACAGGACAAGACATAATTCTGTTACCTTCTTTTTGTAATGGTTAATATCAGTGAAATGGAAATCTAAGCTCTGTAGCTGAACTGTGTTTTTGATTTTCAGAGAAGTTTTTACAAAGACTGAAATAAATTAGCATCAACTTCAGAGATCAACTAAATGTATAACATGTCCACATGCTAAGGCACAAAAAAACAAAGCATTCATTCAATTTTAACTGAAAGAATGATTATTATAGCACTGTAAAATATATACTAAAATTGGTTTTGGGGGGAATGGCATTAACATTCAGTAATAAATGATAATAACATCTCTCATTTATTCTGTTCTGTGATAAAATGAAATTCATACATTAAGGTAGCTTGGAGTTAAAAAGAACAAGATATTTTTCTTTCTGTTTTTGAAAGTTCTCTCGTGACTTCTTTCTAAAGACAAGGTCAGGAAAAAGACAAATTTAACTATGTAGATGACTATGATTATAGAATGATTAAATTTGGTCTATCTTGAAATAGATTTTGTAAACTGAGAACTACAAGTGTTGTCTCTTTAGAAAACCAACTCAAACCAAATGACACTATATGTATGATTCTTACACTTTGACAATGTCACTTAACAGTGGTTTTTCACTTATTCATTAATTCATTTACTCACTAAATAGTACAGATAAGAAGGTACTAATAAGTCACTCCTTAAAATATATGACAAAACAGTTAAGAATATTGGGTTGGCCAAAACGGTTTTTTGTTTGTTTGTTTTTCCATAAGATGGCTCCAGTAGCGCTTAGTTGTCTTAAACTTCATTCAAAACAATTTTGTTAGATTGTATTGTCATGGCTGTCATATCAGCATGCATTAAAAAAAAATCAAAATTAGTGAATTTTTGTGTAACCATTTTAATATTGAAAATGAAAGTAAATATGCAACGTTTTCAGCATAATATGCTTTATTATTTCAAGAAAAGTAATAATGCAACTGACATGCAAAAGAAGATTTGTGCAGTGTATGGAGAAGATGCTGTGATTGATCAAATGTGTCAAAAGTAGTTTGCCAATTTTCGTGCGGATTTCTCGCTAGGCAATGCTCCACTGTCGGGTTGATAGCTGAAGTTGATAGCAATCAAATCGAGACATTAAATGAGAACAATCAACATTATGTTAGGTTGCAGCTAGGAATGAGTGGCTGGAGGGGAAATAAAGGCAGAGTCCTCACCATTACAGTCTAACAAAGAACTTACATACAGGAAGCTAGAAGCAAAATGAAAACAAGTCTCACCAATTGACTCAGCAGTCCTGAGTCTCGGTTTGATAAGTTTGCCAGGTGCCCAGAGCATTACAAGCAAAATAGCACAGGAGGGGAGAGTCCTTGAGACCCTGTGCTGAGAAAAGGGGCTTCCGTAATGACCTCACTGAGATTGGTGGGTGTTCTGAACATCACAAGCAGTAGGAAGGGATACAGAGTCCTTGAGATTTTGTACTGGAAAAGGGGGGTTTCTATAACGATTTCACTAGAACAAAGAGCTTTTACTGAGAAAGAAAGCCTTTGTAGCTGTATATTGTTCCCAAGATTTAGAAGGGAAGGAGGGATACCTCTAGAAACCAGCTGAGGGACACAGCCCCCACACCCCAATAGTCAGGGCACTCCGGTTAGCCAAGTACCCACTTGTAGGTTTTACTCAAGTGTATAAATAAACTATCTCAACTCCACTCTGCGTGTTTGTCTCTTGCTTGAATTCATCTCTTGTGGGGAGACAAGAACCAAGGTGGGGGAAAAAGCCCCCTCACTGGGGTCTCTCTCTCCACCATAACAATTACACCATATGGGAGATAGCTGACATACTCAAAACATCCAAATCAATACAGTTATAGGTGAAAATAAAAAATGTGTCTTTTATGGAAAAAAACATACAAACTTTTTCGCCAACCTAGTATTTGGGAAAACATATTATTAAACATACAGGTACTGTAGAGTTAAATAAACATTATAGTGGTAGCTTATTTATTTTGTATCTCCAGTGCCTTGCACAGAGTAGATGCTCAGGAACAAATATTTTCCTGCTCTTTGTTTTACTTGCAGGTTAAGTTTCATTACAAATGGGAAGTGCATAATCATGCCTAAAACAATTTGTTAGGCAAATAAAAATGACCTGACCACTATGCTCTCCAGTCTCTCAGTTCTCCAACACACCTCCCTCCTTTCCCCAAAAGTGACAGTCACCATGATTAAGCTGAGGGCATTCAGCAAAATTTAAAACTATTTTAACATACTGTCACTATTTTGAAGTTTACCATCTTCCAAAACTGAGCTTTCTGACGATGTGCTCCATGAATTAACAGTTTGTTGGAGCAACATGGAAAGCATTTCCTCATTTATTTATATTTACAGGCCTCTCTCATCAATCACTCACTACAAATGCCTCTAGACCAGCGATTTTCAACCGTTTTCATCTCATGACATATAAACTAATTACTAAAATTCTGCAGCATCCCAAAAAAATATTTTTTGCTGATCTGACAAGAAATACGTACAAATTGGATTCATTCATACCGGCTGGCTATTGTGTTGGCTGTTGTCTATTTTTATTTGACAATCTGAGGGAAAAGAGGTCAGCATCCCCAACTAAATAGTCAGATATTGCATATTTTAAAATTCTTGCGGCGTACCAGTTGAAAATTGCTGCCGTAGACAGAGGTGTACAGGATGATTAGCGTGTGAGTTCCTAATCAGTAGAAAAAGTTTCTTCTGGAGCTGAAGCATATCCAAGTACCTACTTTTAAAAAGATGCCTTCAAGGGAAGCATAATCCAACTAATGTTTCATCAGAATTATGCTCTTAGAAATACTGTTTCAAAGGATTTTTAGTGGAATGGGAATTTTTGAGGCTGTAAACAATTTTGAAAATGAGAAAATCTTTGGTATTTTGCATTTTATCAATCCAATCTCCAACTCTAACTAAATCTGATTTTCAAGCTGTCCAAGAACATATAGACTCCAGAGAGAGCAAGGAAGGAATCAAACATCATTCACATTTTCCATTTCATCTTGGAAGACCACAGACTTGTTCCCTCCCTTCTTCCCTCCCTTCTTTCTTTCTTTCTTTCTTTCCTTCCTTCCTTCCTTCATTTCTCCCCCCTCTTTCTTTCTTTCCTTTTCCCTCTCTTTTTTTTTCCTCTTTCAACCATTCCATATACATTTCTCTTCTGATTTTTCACACAGCCTGCCAGAAACCTCACAAAAAGAAAAGCAAAGTCTACACAGTCCACATTAGTGTTCTACATGGTAACAAATTATACTAATGAAAAAAAGATCACTCATCTTCCATAATTTCCTGGGCAATGTAACTGAGCTCTGCTCAGAAAGCCCACTTCATTTCTAGTATGAGGCTCCAACAGACACCTGTGGTGACTGACAAGTTAACCCCTTCGTAACCCCACTGTTTTCAACACTCAGAGGTCCTCTCTCATTAGTCTTATAAAATAAAGTATGAAATTCCAACATCGAATCTCATGCTGTTGAATTAACAACATCACACTGCTACATACAACTTGAATATCTCCCATAACTTTATGACTGGAACAACACTGTTCAGATTACACTTACCAGTTTAAAAATAGCAAACTCTAATTTGAAACACATACACACATCGTGCATGCTCACTAATATTCCTTCTTAGTGCTAGGCAAATTTTTTTTCCTGTAAACATAAATAAACTTCAGTATAATCATAAGTTTTAAAAGTCAGACTTGTCAAAAGATGATGTTTGTTATGAAACAAATTAAGAAGAAAATATTCCTTAGAGCCAAAATGACAAGCCATGGTCTCCTTGATATAAATACAATGGCTATTTACCTATTTTTAATAAGTTAAAATTATTCTGTGTTTATTTTGACTTAGAGATCATTCATAAATGATCCTTATCCAATGAAATTGCCTCTTCTTGGGTGGGTGAGTGCCAAGCAAGGCAAATAACAGATTTTAAGCACCTTAAAATGGTGTGATTTTTTTTTAAGAAACCATGGGAAGATTGTCTTCAAACTTAGTCATTTTGTCCATTTATCCTTAAACTGAAAAAGAAAATTTAATTTAAAAAAAGATGCCCACAGACCACTTTAAGTCCACAGAAAGTCCAAAATAATATCACTGTGCTCATAAACAAGGAGGGGTTGCTGTTTGTACACGGCAGAAACACTCATAATACACAAGGCACTGCAATTAAGTTTTGACAGAAGCTATGTCACGTTTAAACTCACCGCTGGATGTAAGGGTCGGGACAGTACTGTAGGGTGGCACATCGTGAAGTTTCAAGATTCATTTCCTCCAATTCTCTTTGATATCAACAAATGGAGAACAATTATATAACATATACACATATACCTGTGTATATAGAGACAGAAAGCCAGAAGGCTGACTAAAAGCAATAGGGTCAACTGCTGTCAGACATAGAAGTTTAGACACTTTTCCCCTTCACACACATTTGCAAAGAGGCGGAGCGTGTCTTGATTTTAACCAATGAGATTCATCGAGGAACTAAAACATCAGAAACAGTCAAGTCTTACCAGCTGGGCATCCTCTCTAAATATGTTCTTCCTCTTCTATCACGGCTTTAGAATCCTTGACGTATAGTGGCCACGCTTGTTGGCAACTCGAAGGCATCTCTGAACTTCTGGTCTCCCTGGTGATTGGATGCCGGCATGAATGGCATCAGAGTTTAATTTCAGCAGCCTGGACTTTTATAACAGAACTGAGGTTATGAGTGTCCACTCTGCTGCAGCTAATTAACACTTCCTCGTATTTGCATACTGACTTGACTTGAGGGCTTCTGTAGCTGCTCTGGAGCTAAATTTTGTACAGAGCTGCTTGAGAGGGTTGTTTATTTTTCATCTCCACTTCCCCCCCACCCCCACCCCCTTTCATTCTCCCTTTCAGCCAACCGCCTGTTGTGGTCACAATCTCAAATAGCAAAGACAGGGAAATTCCTTGATTATATTTAACCTAGAACTCACTCTTCCTCTGAACTAAGAGAAAGAGATATCTGTTCACAACCTCTTAGAAGTGTTGCCTGCCCCAAATAAAAGAAAATAACCTTTGTTGGGTTTTGTAAATATCTGACCTCACACACACACACTCACATACACACACACACTATTCTTAAAGTGATATTAAAATGAAAAATACTATAACATTTGAGACTATTTTGAAGTTTGAAAAATTATTTCAAATTGCTTGTTAGCGAACACATTCTACTTGATTTTCGTCCCTATCAGTCTGTCTCACTCTCTTATTTATGCCTTATTGTTTTTGCTGGTTTGGGTTTTGCTTTGTCTAAACCTACTTGAGAGTGAAACTATTAAATTATCCATATATCCAAAAATTATATAACACTAAAAAGTCTGCTTATGGAATAATTTACTACCTTTTGCAATACAGTCTGTAAACCTATCCTGGTTTTGTGGATTTGGAAATTGAATGAAATATGATTCAGAAGCTAAATTAAAATAGACTCCAACAGGAAAAAAAAATGTGTGCCAAAGTGTCACTAACACGACAAGTTTACATCTTCCATGCAGCCTCTAATCACAGGCTACCTGTAAACTGGGGACATCAGTATTTGTCAAAGTCGTGAGACAATCCAAAGTTCGTTTCAGAGAACTTGACATTTCCTTATAAGATATTCAGATTCAAGAAGTATTTTGTAAAAACTATTTTATTTGTTGCTTCAGTCAGAATAGAAGGAAGAAGCTATTTAAAACTTGATATTCTCCTCCCTTACTTAGCCTGACAGTGTCTAACATCTGTGAATTGTGAAATTCACAAATACGCCAGCCTGAGCCCCAGCCAAATCAAACAGCTTGTTCTACAAAATGTGAAACTTGAAGGGAAGATCATTTTACTAATTAATTATAGATTTGTTAATTGGAGTTAAAGTGTTTGGCTTTATTCCTTGCTGTCGGCAAATACAGATGACCACGATATACAAAGTTCTTAAACTTAAAATACACAGTATCCTTTGGCAATGGCCAAATTGTTCCATCACAATTTGGGTTTTGCCTTTCCCATTTATGAAGCAAAAAGTAACATAATGATCTCTAGTGCTGTGCTATTCAAATTGAATGCTCCAAGTCATCTGGAAATCTGTTCCAAGGTCTGGGATGGAGCTTGAGTCTCTACATTTTTTAATCTTTTTATTTAATTTATCGGGGTGACAGTGGTTAAGAAAATTATAAGGTCTCAGGTGCACAGTTCCACAACATATCAGTATATCATCTGTACACTGTATTGTGTTCACCACCTCAAGTCAAGTCTTCCATCACCATGTATTCCCCCATACCATCCATCTCTCCCCACCCTTCTTCCTCCCACCCCTCAATCACCCACTGTTGTCCATAAGTGTTTTCTCTCTTTTTAATTTTTTTTACTCATTCCCTCTACCTTCCCCACCCCCACCACAGCTGCCATCCCTCTCTCTATGAGTCTGTGTCTATTTTGCTGTTGATTCCATTGTTCATTAGATTCCACATTTGAGTGAGGTCATATGGTATTTGTCTTTCTCTGACTGGCTTATTTCACTTAGCATCCTACTCTCCAGGTCCATGCATGCCTTTGCAAAAGGTAAGATTTCCTTTTTTTTTTTTTAATGGATTGGTAATGAATGTACCACAGCTTCTTTATCCACTCATCTACTGATGGGCACTTGAACTGCTTCCAAATCTTGGCGTTGGTAAATAACACTTCAGTGAACATAGCAGTGCGTATGTTCTTTTGAATTGGTGACTATTTAGGTTCTCTGTGCATTGAGACTCTGCATTTCTAATGAGCTCCCAGGTGAGGCTAGTGCTGCTGGTCTTGGTGTCATACTTAGAACAGCAAGACCTATGCACTTCTTGGACTCGACATTTATTTACTCTAGGACATAAGCAGGACTGTTCTAAATGTTGTAAATTACCAGCAGAGGCTCCAGATTCTCAAATAAATTATCCATTTGGAAACATTTCTAACATGTTTTTAATTTCAAAAGGTTTATATCCTAATTTATTAAAAAAAAAACTTAAAATGCATGTCCTCACACAAATAGTTGTCATAAAAAAAACCCTAAATTTACTTAGCTAATAGGGACAAATACTAAGTGGCAAACAATTTTACATAAATAATTATGGAAAATATTGATTTCCATTGCAGTGTGAAAATACATGCAGAGAGTTACCTAGACTAAGAGCAAAAAGATAAACTCTCTAGGATCCAACCTCACCAATAGCACACAGCCATCCACAACCTGGGAAAGTAAGTGACAGTTATATTTTAACGAGCATAATTGCCATTTAGATACATATTTCATTCCTCTTCTCCCAGGGAACTCAGGTTACTATGCAAATGCATATTTCTTGTTGTGTGCAAGTTAGATATGTTTCCAGCAATTAAAGTTTCAGGCAAGAGATGGTAATAGAATAAGCTGTCAGATGCCTAGAGAGGCAATTGCCTTTCTATGACTTACATGTTTGAGTGATGCTGTGTGTGAAGACTTTGATATGTATGAAGAAGAGGAGAAAGTGAAGGACTTAGGGAAACTACAGCATTAGGGCCTAGGACTCTGGACATAATGTAAGAGAAAGGAACACTTTCTCCTTCCCAGCTCCTTGCAGACAAGAATGTGTACTCTGTCACACATGATATTCAAAACCTGGCTCACTTACATCCACATGAGTTAGTTCCCCTGCCCTCTTTCAGGCACTCCATCCAGTCATTACATACTCTTCTGGTTGCTCTCCTGCCTTGGGTCATATTTTGTCCTCCGTCCAGAATATTTTTAGACCCCATCGACATATATCTTATGTCATCTTACAAATCCTTAAAAAAACAGGAAGCTTTTCTTAATCCTCCAGGTAAAAGGAAGCTGCCCTCTTTCTGATGTCTTGAATCATTATACACTTGTGTAAGGGCAGCTGCTACTTTCTCCCAGATTTGAGCTCTTTAGCATAGGGCCCATCGCCTGTACTGACCAGGAACAACTTAAAGGTGAATTTACTGTCTGATTCATCTCCGTATCAATAGGAACCAGCAAAATATGGTTAAAGGAATAGTTTGTTTATATCTTTGCAAAAATAAACTAACAATAAGTATTATAAGTGATTAAAACAAAATTTGCATCAAACACCTGACCTTTTAGAATCAACCTTATTGAGGTGTGATTTATATACAATGAAATTCAGTAATTCTAAGTTTTCAGTTTGAGGCCACATGGCATGTGGCCTCTACCACAACCAAGATAAAGAGTCTTTCATTACCCACAAAGTTCCCTCATACCTCTTTGCAGTTAATCTTCCCTCACTGCTGGCCCTAGAGAATTGCCCTCTTGCTTTTCTCATCAGATATGAGATGTAGATATTCTAGAATAGCATTATCCAATAAAACTTCCCATGATGAAGAAAATATTCTATATTTGCACTCACAGTGACCAATGAAACTGAGGAACTAAATTTTTATTTTTATCTAACTTTAATCAACTTAAGTTTAAATAGCCACCTGTGGCTAGTGGCTACCATGTTCAATGGTACAATGCTGGAATATCACATAAACAGAAGCACATGGTGTATATTCTTTTGTGTCTAGGTTCTTTCACTCAACATATTGTTTTTGAGATATATCCATGTTGTTACTTATATCAGTAACTTAGTAACTGGTTCTTTTTTTATGGCTGTTGAACACGTGGATTATTTATTTTTTGTTGTTATTAAAAACAAATTCTGATCTCAGGTATTCATTTATGTCCAGAAACATAAGTCCAATAGTCTTTAAGAGCTCAATAATAACACACTCAACCGGGTTCCTTAGCAATGAGGAATAACTCCTTCCTTCCAAGATTGCTGCACCTCTAGATGGGAGAGCAGATGTAGTGTAGAGAAACTGGCTGACCTTGGTTTAGTCTGGGTTTTTGTCCCAAAATACTCTAGGACTTAAAGCAAGTGGCTTATTCTCCTTGAGCCTTAGATTCTTGATCTTTAAGATGAAGGATGGATCAATGAGGATTCTTTTGTTATAAGCAATAGAAACTCACTCTGGTTACCTAAATCTTAATACATGAAAATATGTAAAAAAATAAAAATTCACTGATTGGAAAAGAAAGTTGAAAAGCAAGTGTTGGGAAAGGACTGGAACCAGGATAATGTCAAGGGTCTAAATAACAGGAATATGTAGAAACACTCCACAGAGCCTCAGAAGAAACATGTCAGACCTAACAGATTGTTTTGACCTTGAATCATTTAGCTTAAGATTCAAGTTCTCAGAAGGAAGATGCCATGTTTGGCTAGGAGAACTCTGAACACTTTGATTGATAGTCCTACCAAGAGTGGGACAAAGAGAATTTCCAAAAGAAAATAGAAGTTCTAATGGCCAAGAAAGAGCACTAGGTATAGGGCAACTGATAATAACGGATGCCACCACGAGGGCCTAGAAGTGGGTGATCTCATAATTTCTTAAAGCTCTGGCTGTCTGTGGCTTGGTGATTAGAAAAGCTGAACTTCTCAGTTTCAGGACAACTATACCTCAGGCTTTGTCCTTTCTGTTATACTGATGTGCCCTTTTTTCATAAGGAGGATCATGAGAGAAACTTTTAGCATTGGAAGTGATGGAATAAATTCACCAAGTGTCACTCAGACTGAAGGAACTGGGAAGTTTGATAATTTTTGTTTTAAGACACTTTTTCTGTACATGACTTTAGTTCAGTCCCACAACCTGTATTTTATA